TCCTCACCTCCTCCACCATCCTCATCTCCCTCTGCACCAACCTCATCCTCCCCTACATCCTTTCCCCCTTCACCCTCAGCCAGCCAGCCAGGCTTTGGCTGCAGGACCAGGAACACTTTAATCCCCACCTGGGCCAGCTGCTCTGCTCCCCTAGCTGCAAAGCCCCTTCCCAGCACAGCCCATTCCCCGTGCTGGGAGCACTGGGGTTCTGAGCATGCACCCCCCAGCTGCCACCCGATGCTCGGGGAGTGCGTTTGCCTCCCTGGCTGGGCTGGGCTCTACTGCAATGAGAGCTGCTCCCCTGGCTACTTTGGGCCCGGGTGCCTGCAGAGCTGCCTGTGCCTCCACGGGGGGGTTTGTGATGGGACCACCGGCCACTGCCACTGCCCCCCTGGCTACACGGTGAGGGGCATGGGGGGTACGTGGTCCTGGGGCAGCTGGAGGGAGAGTGGGGGTCTGGGTGGTGCTGGAGGGATCATGGGGGTTCTAGATGGTTCTGGGGGTGTCTGGATGCTTTGGAGGCTGGGCAAACATGGGGTCTGGGCATCCCTGGGGGAAACATGGGAGTCTGGGTGTCCTCAGGGATGGGTTGGGGGTCTGGTTATCTCTGAGGGCAGTTTCAGGGTCTGGGCGTCCTTTGGGGAGACAGAGCATGTGGGCATCCTTGGGGGGAAACTTGGGGAATATGAGCAACCCTGGGGAGAACTTGGGGTTCCCGTGGGAGAATGGGGGTTTTGGGGTTGTCCACTTTCCCTACAGCACCAGGTCACCAAGAGAAGGTGGGCAGTCCCCAGACACGTGGGTCCTTTCCCCAGCCCTGGGCAGGGGTCCCGTCTGTCCTGAATTCTTGGTCCCCACACGCAGGATGAGCACTGCTCCTCCCTGTGTCCCTACAACACCTTTGGCATGAACTGCTCGGGGCTCTGCTCCTGCCAGCACGCCCTCGCCTGCTCCCCACTCGACGGCTCCTGCTTCTGCAAGGAAGGTGGGTGCACACCGGGCTCTGGGGTCCCTGTCCCCATCCCCGCCCCCACCCCACTGTCCCCTCATCCCGCAGGCTGGCACGGACCTGACTGCTCCATGCCGTGTCCTGCTGGTACTTGGGGTCTCAGCTGCAACCGGAGCTGTGACTGCGCCCATGGGGCGCCCTGCGACCCCCAGAGCGGGACCTGCCGCTGTCCCCCGGGCTGGCAGGGCCCTCGCTGCCTGCAGCCCTGCCCGGTGAGTCCTTCTGGCCTCTGGTGGTGCTGCTGGCACTGGGGCTCGGTGCCAGCACCCTGTGCTGACTCCCAGCCTGTCCCCACGCTGCAGAACGGGACATTTGGGGCAGGCTGCGGGGAGCACTGTGCCTGTGCCCACGCTGACGGCTGTGACCCAGTGACAGGACAGTGCCACTGCCTGCCCGGCTGGACAGGTAAAGGGGACACACCGGGAGGACCCCACTGTGCCCTCAGCCATCACCTTCATCCCTCACCTTCCCGCAGGGCCGCAGTGCAAGCAGGGCTGTCCCCACGGCTCCTGGGGCAGGGGCTGCCACATGTCCTGCTCCTGCCGCAATGGGGGCTCCTGCTCCCCCCAGGATGGATCCTGCACCTGCGCCCCGGGGTACCGCGGCCCCACCTGCCAGCGCAGTGAGTCAGCCCCCCTCAAAATTCCAGGCTGCTCCTTAGGGCCTGAGCTGAGGCCAAGCTCGTTCCTCTCTCCCCAGCCTGTCCCACCGGCCGCTATGGCAAGCGCTGCTCCCTGAGCTGCTCCTGCGCCAATGGCTCCTCCTGCCACCCCACCAACGGCTCCTGCCTCTGCGCCCCGGGCTGGCGTGGCCCCCACTGCTCCCAGCGTGAGTGGGCTCAGGGGGACCCTTGATTCAGATGGGGGGCCTGGAGGGAGCAGGAGAGAGAACTGTCTGTGGCCACCTGGGCGACTCCTACGCAGTTCTGGCCTGGGCAGTACGGAGCCATACGTGGACCTGCACGGTCCTGACCAGCTTGTGGCTGGATGGTCCCAGTCTGGGGCTATATGGCACCTCTGTGTCCCCAGCCTGCACCCCTGGCACCTTTGGGCTCCAGTGTGACCAGCTCTGCCGCTGTCCCCGCAATGCCACCTGTGACCCCACCAATGGCACGTGTCCCTGCGCCCCAGGCACGACTGGGCCCCACTGTGAGGCTGGTGAGTGGGGGCAGAGCGGGGGCTCCCCGGGTTCCCTCCCCCACCCTAAGGACTGACACTCCTCCCCACCCCATAGGGAATCCTGACCTGCCCTACACCATCGAGCCAGCCCCCCCTGCAGCCTACAGCCCCCTGGGCATGGTGCTGAGCCTGGTGGCCCTGGTGCTATTGCTGGTGGTCGTGGTGGTCACAACCCTGTGGTACCATCGCTGGCAGAAGGGGAAGGAGCGGCAGCACCTGGCCGTGGCCTACAGAGCAGGACAGACGGACACCTCTGACTACATGGTGCCAGGTGAGCCTGGCATGGTGGAGATGTGGCCCCCGCCCTGCTGGCCCTCTTGCTGACCACGCTGACTCCTGTCCCTCCAGATGTACCCCCAAGCCACCACGCACACTACTACTCCAACCCCAGCTACCACACGCTGTCCCAGTGCCCGCTGCCCTCCCGCGGCCCCCAGGACAGAGCCAGCTCCCTCAAGGTACGGCAGGGACAGCGCAGTGTTGCAGGGGGCAGCACAGCACCACTGCCACCACCTTGGAGACCAACCCCTTCCCCTTTCTGGGCTCCAGATGTCTGGCACCCAGCTCTTCCCTAGCATGGAGAGACCTTACAGCCCTGAAGGCAATGCCACGCTGCCTCCTGACTGGAAACACCTCGGGGCATCGGCCCTGGGCCCCAGGGGTAAGGAGAGGGCAGCTCCGGTGTGGATCCTGGCCTGAGTGGCGTGGGGGGTGCATCTGAGTCCCCTCCCTGCTCAGGATCCCCTGGGAAGGCGCTGGGATGGGGTGGAGAACCTTCATGCTGGGGAGGAAGATGAAGCAGAGGGAACCCCAAAGCTGCCCTCTTAACAGGCAGGCAGCTGGACCGGAGCTACACCTATAGCCATGGCCTGAGGAAGTGTGACAGCAAAGGTAGGAGTGGGATGGAGACCACAGGGAAGAGACAGGGATGGGATGGGGAAGGATGGGGATAGGGAAGGAATAAGGATGGGATGGGGAAGGGATAAGCTGTGCCTGGGGCAGGTGTGGGAAAAGGGTTGGGGATGGGAATGGAGCTGGGGATAGGATTAGGATGAGATGGGATGGGATGTGGAAGGGACAGAGATGGGGCTGGGATGGGGAAGAGGCAGGGGTGGGATGGGGATGGGTTGGAACAGGACTGGATTAGGGTGGGGAAGGAACAAGGATGGGATAGGAAAGGGATCTCAGGCTGGGACTTGCCTGAGACAGCCAGACACAACCACCCCTGTGCTCCCTGCCACGGGGGGATCCCCAACTGCTTCTCCCCCAGAGCACCCCTGGGAGGGGCTGGGGGCCAGCACCAGCTCCCTGGCCAGCGAGAACCCCTACGCCACCATCAAGGAGCTGCCCCCTCCCACCACCAAGGCCCATGAGGGCAGCTACATGGAGATGAAATCCCCTGTCCAGCGGGAGATGTCCTACGCTGAGATCGGGCTCCTCGAGGAGCCACAGGAGGGTACGGCTGGGGACACCTTGGCCCTGGTGGCCCTCCCCCATGGGGACACAACCCCAGTGATGGGGAGTGCATGGCCTTGGGGAGGAAACAGCTGCGGTGACAGGGGCTGCATGGCCCTGGGGGGACATGGCCCTGGTGACAGGGGCTGCACTGCCCTGGGGGGACATGGCCCTGGTGACAGGGGCTGCACTGCCCTGGGGGGACATGGGTGACAGGGACTGTCTGTCCCCAGGGGGACATTGGTGACGGGGGCTGTCTGTTCCTGGGGGGAATGTGTCCCCTTGCATACTTCTCTTGTCCCCACAGAGGGTTGTCCTGAAGGGCCAGAAGGTCCCCCCACCAGAGACCCCCCCAGCCACTACGACTCCCCCAAGAACAGCCACATCCCCAGTCACTACGATGTGCCACCTGCCCGCCACTACCCCCCGTCCCCGCCACTGCGCAGGAAGGACCGCTGAGGGACCCTGCGGATGAGGGACTGGCCACGAGGGCACGGAGGATCCCTGCGGGGACTGGAGTACCCCGGGACTGTCGCTGTCCCTGAGCACGGGCCCGCAGGTGGTGAATAAACGGAGTTTGGTGTGGAGTGTGGGTGCTGTGTGTGACTGTCTGCGGCCGAGCCCCCGCTGAGGGAACCACACAGCACTGGCACCGTGGTGGGAGCGAGGGGGACACTGGGGGGTCCCTGGAGCACTGTGGGCACCCCCAGCTCCGTGCTGGATCACTGCTGCCTCCAGGGCGTGCACGAGGAGGGAGCCCAAAAGCTTTTGGGTCCTGCTTACAGTATGGCAGTGCCCATTGTGCACCGTGGCAGGGACCAGAGCTTGTGCAGCACAGGGAAAGAACAGGGGTGGAATGAGATTAGCTTTAAGGTCCCTTCCAGCCCAAACCATTCCATGATTCTGTGATTCTACCTTTGGAATGACTTTAGCCCTTAGGCTTGAAGCAGGTTTCTCTCCCAGAAGTGTAATAATGAGACACCAATGGGCTCTGGGAAATTTAGCTTGACAAATAAATGCTCTGAGTAACAGGACAAGATGTGCTCTTGGAGAATTAAACCTGTGGTTTAGCAGGCTGTGAAGATGACATTGCAGAATGCATCAGCGTTAGACACCTTGTGATTAAAGGAACAAGGGACATGTGGAATATTAAACCTCACCAGTGGGGAATGCTGTGTCCTCAATGCTGCTACTTCCACAGAGGAAGCCCAAGCCAAGGTGAACAAAAGTTCTGAGCAAACACTGGGATTGTTCTGGTGATACAACCAGTGGACTGGTTTGGTGGAGGGAGTCCTGAACCATGGATTGTCTTGCTGTTGTAGCCCCTGGGGCTCACAGGGTGGGGAAATGGCTGATGCAAATAGGAGCAATGTTGCTAGTGGGATTTATATTCTTAAGGATTGGCGTTGCTATTGGTCACCGTAGAATTCCTCATTTGCTCTCTTCTCTCTCATCTCTTCCTTCTGTTCACTACATGGTAATCACCAAGCTGGAAGAATTCCCGGGAAGGAGATTTAACCGGCTCTGAGCCACGGGGGGGTGGTGTTGTCCCAGAACAGGTTCTTTCACCCAGTGTGCAAGAGGCCAATCCACACGCGGGGCGAGGTATTTGATTTATTTACTGCTCTGTGCAGAGAGCAGGGCTGGGCAACCTGTCTGGAGACAACAGTGTGAGACTGAAAGACGAAATGTGAGTGCCACAAACATTCGGCAGCTGGGAAAGGCAGGAGGGGCTTGGCCAAGGCGGGTCTGTATCTCTGACCGAGGGGAAAGGGAGAGTTTATGGGTGTGGTGGTGAAATCTCAGATCTGCCCGGCCACAGCTCAGGGGCTTTAAAAGGCTCAGCTCGGGGGAAAAGGGAGATCCCAGCACCGGAGCACAGCCAGGACAGAGTGACCACACCACTGGATCCAAGGCTGGGCAGAGCTCAGCCCCTCCACATCCCTGCCCATCCCTTGCGGTGCCATCCACCCCTCCATGTCCCTGTTCCCAGGCACGGGATGCCCCCATCTTCCTCCTCACAGTGCACTCAAACCTGTCCCTGTCCCCACAGCCCCTCTGCGCCCCCATCTCTGTTTCTGTCGTGCCCCCAGCCCTGGGAGGGAAGTGCCAGGCAGGGCAGGGACAGCTCCACGTGCGCTGTGTGACAGAGACCTCAGTGGTGCTGCTGGGGACAGGACCCCCATCCTCCCCATCTCCAGCCCCCCACCTCCATCCTCCAGCGCACCTTCAGCGCCCCCCCGGCAGACACAACCCCCCCAGATCCCGCTTCACGCCGTGCACGGGGGTTTGAAACATTTATTACCGAGTACCTTCATCCCGCATATCCCTGCTCCTCCTCATCCTCACTGCTCTCCTGGACGAGGTCGGGGTCCGCAGGGCTGCAGGCGAGGCAGGTGCCCCCCTCCAGCTTCCAGCACGACTCGCAGTACAAGGCGCCGCAGTCGGGATTGGGGCAGGGCTGGTGCT